CGATAATCGATGACATTCTGCAGGACAATTTATGAGGCACATTATCTTTTCCATGAACGCTGGCAGAGGGCTTGAGTAACATTTGCTATATTGTTCCTCATGCATCAAATGTTTCCTATTCTAGGATCAGCGTTTGCAGCAGCTTGGGGGAATGCTCCAGAGAACAGATAAAGTGAAATCCTCGCGGTGGTGGCTCATCCTCTTTACTCAGAAATAGAGGCGACATTCGAAGTCGCCAATTGGCTGATGAAGATCCTCTGTGTACGGTAATGAGGGCACTACATTGCTAATTGCTTGTTCAAGCAAGCCCAAAACACACTGGAGAAACTGCCCAAGAGTGCTAAAAACAGGAAAGCTGCACCAATCACCAATCTGGCACGTCAATGGAGGCTCGTATCAGACCCAGACTAAACTTAAAGTGCTGATGTGAATGTCAGATGTGTGCTGGATTTGTTATTGATATGGAAATGTGTGGTTTTACAGAAGGCTAACATCTTCTTTATGCTACATGCAGGACCCATCACTGTAATTAATAATTTACAGACTGAATTCAAACTTCCAACCATATTACAAAATAAATTACAAAAGGTCTTTAATCATTGTTTCTTGTAAAGGAACGAGGCAACTTTCAAATGTCCTCTTTTAATTATGACCGATTATCTTCTTAATATTTGTATTAAGAAGTTTGAGTTAATTTAGCTCATTTTTCTGAATCCCTCTATGCTTAGAAGGAAGGTCAGTAAAGTGCTAGCTTTGTAGAATAAAATACACCAGAATAAATAAAAAAGAACAAAAATAAATCAAAATTAAAGGCACAATTATATGCAGTCACGTCATGTAAAATTCAGATTTAACATTTGATATGAGTTTCAGTTTCGTTTTTGAAAATGAAAGCTATTGAAGCTATGAATAAAGTGCAATTTTAATGATTGCTCAATAGAGTAGCACAAACTGGCAGGTTTCTGATGTAAATCCTTTAGTCAGAGCCAGGAGTTTACCACACACACACACACACACACACACACACACACACACACACACACACACACACACACCACACACACACACATACACATACACATACACATACACATACACATACACACACACACACACACACAGCAGCTAAGGAATAGGAGGGGGTGTGAGCTGCTGCCTACATACTAGAGCACATCTTTCCTTTTTTCTGACCTTTGACCATTTCAGACACTTGCCAGGATTATTTCAATATCCTTACATCCTGATGTGCCTTACCTATAGAAGAGAAACAACAATAAGAATTGACTAACCTACTCCCGGACAGACAGGAGGCTGTACAAATTGTTAAAAATCCATCTGAAAAGTGGCAGAGAAAGTTTACTGCAGATTAACACTGCTACCCGTAACCTCCAGTGACACGTACAGTACTTTCAGTGACAAAGGGTCCAGGTAGGGGGGGGGGGGGGGTAATGCATCGGATGGCCTCGGATACAGCAAAAGCGCCCAACGTGTGCAAGGGCATTATTTACAATTATTGAATTTACTTCAGAAAAAACCATGACACGTATTGCATAAGAAACATTTCAAGAAGAACTGGGAGCTGAACTGGGCCAGGCAAATTGAAAGAATCCATGAATCCAGTGTTGGAAAGTAAAGAAATACATGTACTCAAGTGTTGTCCTTAAATACAATACTTTTACTTTACTTACTCCACTATATTTGGAGGCAGATATTGACTTCACTAGATTTATCTGAGAGCTTCAGGTGATTAGCAGATTAATGTTATCATTACAAAATCTTATTTAACTAAAACATTACAGTGTATTATTATAGTTGAAGCTGCCAAGGGATGTATAAAGCTTTACAAATGAGCCATATCAATTCATATATATGATTCTGAAATGGACCAAAATGCTAAATAGTTACTATTACTCTTGGAACTTTAGGTATCTGTTCATACATATACTTTAGTAATTTTATTTGAGAACATTTTTGAATTCAAGACTTGTAATTGTAACAGTCATTTAAAAAGTTTTCTTAAAGGGGACCTATCATGCAAAAGGCACTTTTTTATGTCTTTTATACATAAATATGTGTCCCCGGTGCGTCGGGGAACTCACGCAGCGTCAGAAAATAAAACCCTTTCTCTTTTCCTCCGTACCCAAATCTTTTAAAAACGGGGGTACAACGAGCGGAAACAGATTTGCTGCCGATATGACTTCAAAGTTGCTATCAGAAACAATGCCTGACGTGTGTTGGACGTCTTTGTCTACATTAGCAAGCCTCGCTACCACTCAAACTCACCTTGTAATAAACCCCCAAGAGAAAAAGCATTTGAGCTCCATACTGTTTCAGAAATAATCCTTGATGTGGTTTAGAACAGGATGGCGTTTTATCACAGCAGAATTTAACTTTGTCTCCGGTAGAATTCTGATCAGGCATTAGCTCCGCCTCCTCTTTTTTTTTTTTTAAGCTAAGGACCCAAAATCTGCGTTTCTCTAACAGGGCTGCAACAAAGGGGTATGAGCAGTATGAGGTATGGCTACAATGGGTGAACTGTTTGGTATTTTAAGCAACAAACTTCACAGACACGTTTTGTGGTATGGCCCTACAATATATGTTTCCAATATAGCATATAGGTCTACTTTAAGTAAAATATCTCAATACCTCTTCCACCTCTGCATGATTTAGATACATGGATTCAAGTGTTTTTAATTCACAGCACGCAACTCGATGGATCTTTCCCTCCTCCTGCTCTCTTTCCTCCAGAGCATTAGGCAAAGTGAAAGAAAGATAATCCCCTAAAGGCAGATGGAGAACAAAAACTCAGACACAGACAAACAATCCCAATTATTTCTAAAGATCACTAAAGCTGAATATGTGAAAGGACAAATATCAGCAGTCAACAAAAAGGCTCCAGAGCGGTAACACATCGATAGATCTTTTGTGTTGTGAACAGACTGGAGGATAATTTGACTATATGTAAACGCTTTACAAGATAACTTTGGGTTACATTCCCCATCCAAAATGAGGAGCAGGTGTTATTGTGACAGGCCCACATTCATGAAAGTAATGCTCTCATTCAACTACAGCAATGTCAAATGGTTGCCAACATCTGTAACTGATCATACATTCACTTCCATTAAGTCCACATTAGCCAGGGCAGCACAGACAGAGAAGAGAGATGCAGTATGATGCATCATTTAGAGGCAAACAAACAAACGTGGCCTGAATACATTTGTATTTTAAGTATGTGGAAAGGTGGAAGGAGTTCTGATTCTTTTTCAACCATTCAACTTTGAGAATGTGTGTGTTTTTGTCTCCTGAACGCATCACTCTGAGGTGAGCGGTCAAAGACAATGGCAGATATGAACTGAAAGCTCCTTCAGGGATTAGTTTGGCTCAGGGGACGCTGAAACACACAAGCACACTTATTATTATTTATGTAAGCATGTCATCCTCCTGTCTAATGAGCCTTTCACCGTGAGCGTAATGAAACAGCTTGCATTAACACAGGCTAAATGAACAGCCAAGAGCTCCCATGTCTATGCAGCAAGATGAAAGCAGATGTTCCGCAAACCCAAACACCAGCGTAACGGACCTACGCAGAAACAGAAGGGACATTGAACGCCGCGTCATTCTCACCAGATCATTGACTCCATCAGAAAGATCTTGAATCCCCCCCTTTGGTCAAACATCATTATGTGAGAACTACGCCTAGCTGAGCCATGACCAACTGACCATGAATGAACCTTTAAATTGATTTGTTTCTCCTATAAACGCGGCAATGATAAACAGGTTTCTCTCTGGCTAATAAACCCAGACTCTTAGTGAGGCGGTGTAAACACATTCCTCTGAGAGCCAGCTGCGAAGCTGAAGACAGACAGGGGCGTCAGAAAAGGCAGCATTTATTACATATTCAATTATAGGCAATTTGGCCGGGTAATTGATGGGCTGTGTTGTGTTGAGAAAATACCGGCTGACTTGAAGGATCCAAAAATGGCAGGAAATAAAAAGACTTGTACTCAAATAAAGCTTTCCCTTTGTTTTAAGGTAAACTCTAAGCATGACTAGCATGTGTGTATGTGTGTATAAGACTTTAGGAATAACCTAAACCTGTGCAATAAATAACTTGATTTCTCAAAATATGTGTTGTGAAAATTACTAACATTATTGTAATGATATTTCATTTTGACTGTGGACACATGAAGTAGCCGTAACACAATAGGGGCCTCTTTAAAATACTAATGTAGAGTGTACAAACAAATATGATATTACTTTAAACATCAAACACATTTTATCAGACATTTAAAAAATCTGAAAATAAATCCTAAACGGATACAGTGACACCCAATGTGTGCAAATAGAGTGTAACTCTGTTAAAGGTCTAAACTTCAGTCTAAACTTGATATAACTATGCAGTTCAGTGTGTAATAATAAACCTATGATTCATGAGAAAATGTCTAGAGAAAGATTATATTACTCACTTCTTGCATTTACTTTGACAGTATCTTAAAGGACCAATCCAGAGTTTTTCAAACTTCTACTAGTTATTTGTGCATTGATTACCATATCAACCTTTTCCAAGATTGTTTGAAATGTTTTCCCTGCAATTTCAAGCAGCCATACTTCATGTCGCAATGTTCTAAATACAAATGAACCTGCAGAGATTGGATTTGGATCAAACATATTCAAATGAGTGAAAAGGGGTTGTTGAAATGTGCTAGAACAATTTGTTCATAACACTGTTGTGTGGCTGGAAGTAGAGAGTGAAAAGTTTGCATTACCTCGCAACAATTCATTAAGTTTGACCATGTTGGCAGAAAACACTCTTAGTCTCTTGCTCCAACAAGCGAAATCAAGACTTGTGGATATGTGAAAGCAATATAAATGCATTCAGAAATAAACAACCCCCCTGGCATTCTTTGGAAGATGGATTAAAGCAGCTTTAAGAATTAATCTTTTCTAATCAGGCCAAAAAAACACACTGGCGCTGGATTGAGAGTGAAAGGGAAACTCACCGGTACCAGTCCAGCCCTTTCTCGTAGTTCCTGTCAAAGAAATGTGGCTCATTCCCAACGGCTCTGACGTCCGGGTGCACCCTGAGCGCCTCCAGCAGGGCTCTGGTCCCCCCTTTCTTCACCCCGATGATGATGGCTTGGGGAAGTTTTTTCACTCCATAATCCATGGTGCAGTTCACCCTGAGTTCGCTGTCCGTGGTGCTGAGTTCCTGGTGCTCCCTCTCCAGCGCGGTGGTGTGATACGCCGCCGCAGATTTAGTCGGAGACGCCTGACTCCTAATCCACTCCACTGTCCTCTGCTCGGCCTCAGCATGATCCCTCGTCGTGGAAACCGCGGTGGTTCTCTCGGTCTCGGTGAATTCGCTCAAGCCCTGGGAAGTGGAGTAAAGTTTCTCCCTCAATGTCACAAAAGTTGTCTCCTCCGTCACCAGCCTCCCCTGATACGCGTAGTTCTCTTGCAGAGGGAACTGCAGCGAGTTGTAGCAGCTCATCAAGCTATAGAACAAATAGGTGACAGAGAGGGAGAGGGTGAACATGAATAAGATTTTCCGGGGCACTTTAGAGGTGAAAACCGAAGTGCTGGACCAAAATGCCATCTCTGATAACAGTGATCCTCTCAGAGAAGTGGCCAGACATGTTTCCACCCCGAGTCTTGCATGGACAAAATCAACAGCAATAATCAGTCACTATCAGCGCAGCTCCAGCTTTAAAAGCGTGAAGCTGGACCGAACCAACCTAATCCAACCAAATCGCATATTTATAAGGATAGCAGGGAAATGGATCGTTAAAATTCCGGGAGAATGTCGCGTCCCTCTTTTTCTTGAGTATCGATTTCTTATTCCAAGGCTGACAGAGAATGTCACAATTTATTGGACTGAACTTGCAGATTTGAGACGCTGGACATCAGGCGTCCTTCCAAATGAGCAGCCTGGCTTGAACTGGACAATGTATGATGGGCACAATCCTGGCATTTTATAAAGAAGGAGGAAAAGAGAAAAAAGAAAATGAGTGTTCAAAGTCTTCTTCTCATCATGAGCCCGAAGTCCTGATCAGTCTGCGATACAACCAAAACCCCATTGTATGTTTCCAAAAAATATCCTTTTTTATTCTCTGACTTTGTGTGGCAGAAAGTCCGCAGGTTTTGCACAAAAGCGTCCACTCTTCTGACCATAGCAGGCTGCTGTCGCCGTCCTTTGCGTCTCCTCAGATTGGCAGGATCCTGCGATGTGCGCATCGGCTGAGTGAGCTCATCTTACTGAAGCACTGTAGAGCACACAGCACAACTAGTGTGTGTATACACCCACTTTGTCCTCTATCCGTGCACAAGTAGGGCTATAAACGTCAGATTTCCTCATGAAATAGTTGCGTGGAAAGCTGCTCCTGCTCGTTCCTGCGCCTGCTTGCAGAGACGGGAATTACAGTGCGGGAATATTTTAGGGCTCATTACGTTTTTGAATTGTTTCATACTGTTTAAAGTTCACTATAAAACTCCATCTCAGAAATATTTTGATAGATATTATATTTTACAGAAAGCTCATGTCTGCACCCTGCTGGTTTTCTGAGGAGCAATGCATAATCATTTGAAATAAAAATACAGAAAATGTATGATTTTAAGAGATATAAAAGCAGCATTTATGAATCAACACGGATAATGAGCATCCCTGTGTGTTCAATTAAATCCATGAGTCACAGTTCTCCTGTATTTTTCTAAATGCAAGAGAACAATCCTGCGTTATGCTGAGGATGGTTCGCATGCTTAGGCATTATTATAAACTGAATTTATTATACATGGGTGCAGACTATAATTACCAATGAGGATATTCACCAGACCTTAACTTGTACTCTTTGTTGCCGCAATATGAGGATTTCAAAACGTGTGCCACTGAAATGTCTCCTAGTATTATAGAATCTCATTCATCACAAACCTCCAACACACCAGGAGAGCCAGCATCCCACTGATATATTTGCAATTCCAGCCTTTCAGTACAGCATACCACTGTTATATTTCTAGTTAAGAGTTTGGAAATATTTATATGTTGGACTTTAAGTTGCCCAAATATGTTTCTTATAAATAGCTTTAGCTGGCTCTGCATGCAAACCAAGGGATCCAGGAAGTCAGTTTATCATAGAATGTTGCATTCAGTGCATTTTCACCAAATCAGACGTTTGCCATTGCTGAATTTTCTAGTCAAGCTTTTTCTACCCAGTAAGGTGCTGTCTAAACTTACAATCTACATTGTAGAGCTTTATAGCAAATGTTCAGCTCATTGTTTATCCCTCCAGCCCACAACATAACCGTTCTAGTTCACTATCACCGCTATAATAGTGCCGTTTTCGGCTTCAGTAGGCAGCTGTTTTCAGAGAAACAGCTCTTAAAACCAACCAGCTCAGCACCAAATGTCACACAGACACAGTACTACCACTAGCGACTAGCTTGTGATCATAGTGGAGCATATACTGTAGCTTTTCAAGAGCCTGATATTTCTCAGAGTTGGACCATAAACTGTGCTCAAAGAGGAACAAATCTGACTTTATCTTTAGGTGGTCAGAAACAATAGTCCAACGAAATGATAATGTTGTTACATAACTGGCATAAATAAATCACAAACAATTCAGCCATTTCAGATGTAAAGGGGCCCTATTACGCTCATATATGTCTTTTGTGCCTCAATGATGACATGTGCATTTTCAATGTTGATAAAGCTCTTCATTATTCTGCCTTATTCTACCTCTTTTCACCCTCTGTCTGAAACCAGAGCCCAGTCTGCTCTGATTGGTTAGCTGGCAGGCTCATTTGTGATTGGTCAACTGCTAAGTGATGTCCCACCCCTTAGCTTATCACGTACAATGTGTTGGAGTGCTAGCCAATAGGAGTGATTAGTGTTATGTTACTATGTTACAGAAGTAAACAAAGGAGTCCAATCAAGGTGTTCCAGGCAGGGGGGGAGTGTGTGGGATCACCTTTGGATGCTGGTTTTACGCCAGCTGCATAGAAAAGTCATCCTGACATGAAAGCTCCTGAAGGCTATATTCACACCTTAGCTAAATCGGACATGACATAGACTTAATACTGACGAGATGGCAGGTTAATCCAAAACACGTTTGCATGACTGAATTCATCTGTATTTGTCGCATCTGATTTTCGTTGTCATATTCCAAACAATGGGAAATCTCTTGTCATTGGCAATCTCAGAGAAATGCAGGTGATTGGTTGAGGGGGAGGAAAGCATGCAGAAGTGTTTGGAGCACAGTGGTGACTGGGTGTTTTGCAGTCAAGAGAGCGGAGGGAGAGCTCAATGGGTTTGTTGAAATTGTTGCACTCGTAAATTGCCACTCGGAGAAGCGGAGAGCTCTCCAACAGCAAACTGCTCCGTTTGTAAATCCTCACTGTTATCAGACTTTCTCTACCTGTCCAAGAGCCACCCTGTCAGGGCGTTCTGAGCATGCTCAGACACTCAGCAGGACGTGTCAGTGTTAACAACACAAGTGAAGTGACGTTAAGATGGCTGCCACTACTTAATGCAGTTGATAGATTACTATCAGAGCGTGAGAGAAAATATATTGACCCGTTTTATCTTCCCTTTGTTTGGTCTGTTATCTGAGCCATTCATAAAGCGCTCAGATATTGTCTGTACCTGCGGAAGCTTGTGCTCAGATTGTGTCTATTTGCATTTACAAACAAGCAGTCACTCAGGGAAAAAATGAAGTTTATTGAAATGTAGTTTGAGTCCTGACAGCTGCATCATGAGGAACAGAATGTATTGGTTGTGTCAAAAGGTCGATATTGAATACACATTTTAAACTAAACATACCGGCAACTAGTGAAGGTCTTATCACAGGAGGTTAGAAATGACTCTCCCTTCTCGTTGTTTCAGTAAACATGGCACAAGCTAACCTCTGCAGTCACAATCTACCAGCACACACTCAAGTGTTCCTCGTGATGAGGCTGTGAGCCACACTGGCCCTCTCTGCGGCGCCATTAGCATTCGGCTTGTGTCTAGATTGTATTCTGATCAGAATGACCCATAATACATTTATACCTGGAATACACAAAGTGTGTGGTGCTGCACTGCAATTACGATGTCTAATCCTGACAAAATCACTCAGAATTAAGGCAGACATATCTTCTCACATGCTTTCAAGGAGGCTGCAGGACTTTGTTCAAGACAGGTACATGTGAGTCTTTCATACACATGTGACACATCTGGGCCATCGTGTTTTAATACAGTGTTTATGCTTCATGAATATGATATTAGAAAGAGTAGACACATTTGCAACTACAGATAGATAGACAGTTTTACTCTCCTGGATCGCTCCAATAACCTATACATATTTTTAAGGAATTCACCTAAAACCAAAATAATTGTCAAAAAAATATGCACATATTTCAGAAATTCAAATTGTGTTTGGATCTCATTAAAGTTGTTGTATGTTATAACTGAACAATATGATAATTTCCACTGAAGTGTGTGTGTGCTGCCCATAAGTAATTGTTACATACAGTAAGGCAAAATGGGATTGTTCTTTCACAGAGTTTCAGTATTCTCTTTTGTGAAAATTCCCTTTTAGAACCTCTTCAAATTGTCAAATGTATTGCTAGATCAGTGGTTATGACAAAAAAAAATTGGAAAATTAGTTAAAGAAAAGCAGTCTTGTAAGTCTTCTGGAACTAAAATGGAGGACGCAGTTTGGTGCTGAATACTGAGTATTCAAATTCCTTGCATTTAGTTGGTTGTTTACTGAATACCTATTTACAGTCACTCCTGTTCCTCAGACTTTACACTGACTCAGAACTGCCTTTCACTACTTGTCCGTGCACTAAATATTAATCTTGGAAAGACAGCCTTCAGATATTTTCTGTTTGTCCAGAATGATTTACATGGAAGACTGAAAATTAACATAGTGATATTAATAATATTCAAGTTAGAGTACGTCAAGATCCGTTCTATTGATTGTAGGTTGAACTGTTCTACGTGTTTTAAATGTGTTTTTCATACCTATGCCAAGGATGTTTCAGAAAGCATACATTCATAATAAGTCATACATACTGTATATAAATAGTGTCATTGTGTTACGATATGTTAACTTATTCCATTACCATTTTAATTATTTGCATTTATCTGTACTCAGTTTGTAAATGAGATCTCAATCTTAATAAGACTTCGAGATTAATTAAACGTATATATAAAAAAGGTTAACTTTATTGCTGTATTGTGCTCTTTATCACCAGGTGCAGATCAAAAGGAGACAGACAGCTCAGCAGCCGTTATTGGTTTGATTGATTGATTAAAAAGTTTATTAACAGCTTGTATATTGGGTACAGTACAGCTCAAAACATACAATTGTTAAGGGGATGCAGACCAGAGAAAGACTTTCGTCTTGTTTACATCAGGGTCCCCCATTTCCAATTCATCATATCATTTAAGACATATAAGACATATTTGACATACAGATGGCTTATTTACAATTTACATACAGGTGGTTTTTTACATACAGATTGCTTATTTACAATTTTCATTTTAGATTTCGTTCTAATACATCCTAACCGGACATTTAAGACATACCAAGTCTACAGATATACAGTTAGTAACAGAGTCTAAAATGCGAGTATATACATAGATGAGGGGGGGGGGGGGGGGGGAAGCTGTCCATTGTACGACAGGTTGAGATTTGTACCATTACCGGGGCCAGTTTTGCAATGCTCTCCCCCGAAGGTGCTCTTTAAGAGAGGTTTTGAAGGTAAGTATAGTTTTACTTTCCTTTACAGTTGTGGGAAGAGCGTTCCACCTTGATGTGGCATAATTGCGTGTATTCCCCCTTTTTTGTGCCAAATATGGGTTTCACATGATTTGTGGAGCTCCCTCTGGTGTTATGATCATGGTATTCCTTGACCTTTGGGAAGAATTTTGACATGTACATGGGTACCATAGAGGTGTAGTGGATCTTGTAGACCAGGCCCATTGCAAGTAGCTGTACTCTGTCGTCTACTCTAAGCCATCCTAGGTTCAACCCGGAGAGACGTGATGTAAGAATTACATATTTATTGTTTACACGTCATATGAATGAAATGATTGCCATGATAGTACAACAGGAGAATGTAATGGTGTTTGGCGATTAGGCCCCCGGTTTGCAGGATAATCATTCAGGAGGGAAAGCACCGCTCCGATGAAATCCCCGGGGTCTAGACACTGGTGGTGGTGATGAGTAGGTGAGACCAGTCTGAAGGAGGAAGGTTTAG